CGCCACCCGGGTCTAAGTCAAATCAAAATCCCGTAAATCAAAATTCCGAAAATCAAAATCCCGAATCTTAAATGTCGTGCCGCGTGATGTCGGGGTTTCAATATTCAAGCCCCGCATATGATTAGTAATATAGATTACCTATAGATTACTAATCACAACCGGGGTTTGAACATTGAAACACCGACATCACGCTGCGCGACAAATAAGTCCCAGGAGGGTAGCGATACATCGCTATAGCGATAAATTATAAAATCCTAACATTATTTTTTTAAAAAAATATACATGTAGTATTTTAAAATTTTCATTAAATTTTGATAAAATTTTACTAATACACTTTTATGATTTATGTTTAAATAAGAGAGACTTCAAATCTTTTTGCCTAAATATAAATTATAAAAATATATTAATAGAATTTTATCAAAATCTTATAAAAATCTTCAAATATATATATTTTTTTAAATAACTTAATACATCATTATCGATTAACTTGGTAGAATTTTGACTTTAATACGTAGCTACAACGATCAATTTTTTAAAAAAATTTTTAAATTAATAAAAACCTCTATATAGATGTGATTATATATAGCGATAGAGAATATTCTATAAAAGTATACCTCTATATAATCACTGATTTCTGTATCCGAAAGTGTAATTATATAGAGATTAGACTGTATAAATTAAGATTTTGAAGTTTAAATTATACAATCTAATTGGCTTGTGATTATAACCACTATATAGTAACAAATAAATTTATTCTTATTACCGGTAAATATTAGTTTATATTAGTTTAAAAATAAAATTTTCAAGATTGTTTGAAACTTTGAAACTTATATACTTACATATCATTCAATAGGTACATCTATAATATACTAAAAAAAATTTTTTTTTATTAATCAAATCTAATCTATGTTTAAAAACTTTAATTACATAAAATTGAGTTACAATAATAAAATTTGCAAAGTTTTTTAAACCTTTTAATTATAATTATTTAAAATTACTACATAATATTCCGTTTTGCTAATTATTAAAAATTATGTGGCATTATTATTTTTTGGCATTTTCTTTTTACCATCTAAATTATCCAACTCTGACTTTGAATAATAATATGGAGCGGCTATTATTAAAAATTATTAAAAATTTAGGATAATATTTCATTCGAGAAACGAGAGTTTATTTTTTTTTTTTAAAGATTAATAAATTAAAAAAATACAAACCTTCTATTAACCATTCAGGTTTAATTTCCATTACTTGACGCATATACTCCTTACTCGTAAGTACTAATTCATAAAATATAATCCATTTTGGATTTACTTGAAATAGAGAACTACTGGGATGAACATGTATTGTTCGACCCGGTTCGCCATACTTTGCTTTTTGGTATGATTCACCAAAACGTGAAAGCCTTGCGGCATTCATAAAGAATCCTGATACAATTGACTAAGAAAACATGGATTATGTTATTAAAAATAATTTTAACTTACAATTAAAATCATGATATTAAAAATATTATTATTCCATACTTTTTGAATTGGTACTATGTCACCAGGATTTGGGTTAGACTTCAAATCTACTTCAGCACGTTCACAAAGACCAACAAGTTGATCACGAACATCTCTCGCTCTAGACATTGAACGATAAACTATAAAATTTTCATAACACCAATTCATTGAGTAGTTTGTATCTACCCACTGAATATTAATTAAATGAAAATAAATTAATTACACCAAGAATTAATAAATTGAGAAAAATGATCATTTTATCATTGTTTATTCGACTTACTTGTTCCCAAACATTTAATAACGTGAAATGATCACCACCAGGACGAATAAAATTCTGGCGAGCTTTATCTGCATGAAATTTTTTGTCTTTTGGTCGATAAAAAACGGAACTTTGAACAGTAAGCATGCTTATAATAGATATCACCTGTAAACGTAAATGATACAAAATAATTAAATATTAAGATATCACAATAGCATGTAGAAAAGAAGATATTACAGTAGCATGTAGAAAAGAAGAAATTGCAATAGCAAGTAGAGAAGCTAAAGATCCTCACCTCTTCTGTACAATTATATCTTTCCGACCATATTATCGACTTGGATAAAAATGGATCCAACGGAAATTCAGCCATGCGTCTTCCTAATTTAGTCAATTCCCCATTATTATTTAGAGCTCCAAGAGCGTATAAATCGTTAAGCGCAGCTATTAGCGCTTGTTCATGAGGAGGATCCATAAACTCGAACCTCATCACATCATGAATTCCTATACTCTGAAATAGTCACAATTAGACTTTTATAAACAATATACATATAAACAATGCAATATTATGTTTTAGAGAAAAAAAAAACCTTTAATGACAAAACAACATTAGCTAAATTGGTTCTTTGAATTTCAGGAACAGTGTTTTCTTCCAACTCGTTGTGAAACGCGTGTTGAGTATATAATCTAAAACAATGACCTGGTCCAACACGTCCAGCTCTTCCAGATCTTTGAACTGCTGAAGCTCTTGAACACTGTGAAATAATTTAAAAATAATGTTTATACAATGTTTATGATATGATATGAAGACATCAAAAATTGATTAATACCTACTGGAACAACTAACAATGATTCCATTCTTGTTTTTGGACTGTATACATTTTGTTTAACAAAACCTGGATCAATAACAAATGTGACACCATCAATAGTAATTGAAGTTTCGGCTATATTGGTAGCTAAAATGACCTACATTAAAAATAAATAAAAATAAGCAAATAAATAAATAAATAAAATTAATTAATGAACTAATTGACATTTGACCATATTTCTTAACATATATATAAATGTTATCAATATACCTTTCGAGCTCCAGGAGGTGTTGGTTCGAAAATTTTAGTTTGCATATCAGGAGGAAGGTTCGCATATATAGGACATATTATAAGTTCACGTATTTTGCTTCCAAGAACCCTACAGGTATGTTGTAAACTTTCTTGCACAGCTTCAATTTCATCTTGTCCCTGTATAAGTGGAATAATTATAGTATTTGTAATAAAAAAAAAAACATCATTAACTACATTAACTAACGAATATTTAAGCATCAGAATATTAAAACATGCAATTATACTTATACTTACCGTAAGGAAAACCAATATGTCACCATTCTTTTGTGAAATGTGCAATTGCATTACCGTAGTAATGGCAGCGGATACATAATTTGCTTCAGGTGCTTTAGTGTAGCATACTTGCACAGGATAGGGCTTGCCAGGAACTTATAGTTTGAAATAAAATAAATGTAACTGGTGTTATTTATGTAATACGAATAGAATGAATGGAATAAATAAAATCAATGTAATGTTTAAATTCTTACTATTGAAAATTGGTGCATCAAAGTATTCTGCAAACTTTTGAGCATCTAAAGTAGCACTTGATATTATAAGTTTGAGATCAGGCCTTACACGGGCAATATCCTTGAATTATTAAGGAAAAAAGATATTAATTGACATTTATCATAATTATAAAGTTTTATTAGGGAATCTAAAGTTTTATTAGGGAAAAGATAATTAGATGTTAATATTACCTTTACTAATCCGAATAAGATGTCAGTATGTAAAGTTCTTTCGTGTGCCTCATCGATTATTAAACAATTATAATCATCTAATAAAGGTGTGGATAAAAATTCACGGAGAAGAGTACCGTCGGTCATATATTTAATTATAGTTTTGTCTGAAGTACAATCCTCGAACCTAATCGCGTATCCAACCTATAAAGATAACAAATTAGATAAGGTTTATGGATTTATAATAAAAAATTTCACCACGTGCCATGTGTCATTTACCTCATATCCAAGTTTTACACCCATTTCTTCAGCTACACGAGCGGCAACACTCATTGCAGCAACTCTCCTTGGTTGTGTACAACAAACTTTTTTCCCTCCTTTTGTATAGCCTGCTTCATATAGATATTGAGGCAATTGTGTAGTCTTTCCTGACCCCGTTTCACCAACAATCACCAAAGTTTGATAATCATTTATAGCCTTAAGTAAGTCTTCTCTAAAAGAAAATATGGGCAAAGACTTGCGCGTTTCCTCGATAGTTTTTGCTAAAAAAAAAAACAAATAAATATATATAAATGATAAATATATGAATGACAAATATATGAATGATAAATATATGAATGATAAATATATATATGAATGATAAATATATAAATGATAAATATGTATATGATAAATATATAAATGATAAATATAAATACACAAATACATATTTATTTTATTTACAGTTAAGTTTAAAAAAAAAAAGAAAAATGCACACACCCTTTCGTTCAGCTTCATCAATTTTAGCTATCATTTCATCTTCTTTATCATTAGATTTCCAATCCCAATCAAGAAAATCAATGGCTTGATCATCAAAAACATAACTATAATCCTCTTCATCTTTTATTCTATCTTGAGCACCAACTTTTAATTGAGATTTTACTATTTGAGTTTGTTCCCATTGATCTTGATCGGTGACAAATTTACTTGGGTCACGATCTTCCTCATAACGTTGATACAAAACAGATTCTTTTCTTTTTTTATCTATTCTTCCTTTCTCTGTTATATAATCTATAGAATGAAATTGAAAAATGTTAAGCAACATTTGATACTTACAACTATATAATAAATATTATAAATAGATATATAACCTTCTGGCATTGAGTATTCATCAGTCTTTCCAGAAAGGCTAAGTCTCTCTTTCGTTAATCTTAGAGTTTCTTTTTTCGTTTCAAGCTCCCTTCTTTCCCTTTTAGAAAGTTTTTCATCTTTAAACAACATATCCTCATCAAGAACACTTAATTCTAACATTTGTAATTGTTTATCTGTTCGATCTTTTAAGTAAGTTTGTCGTGATCTTTCACGAATGTCTGGAAGAAGTTTTTTACGTGCTTCAGAATCATCTGCAAGATTTCTCCGTTTAGCAGTTTCACTATCTGCTTTTGATGATCGATCTTCTACAAGCTATGAAACAAATAATAATAAAATAATAATTAGAATTCTATCAAGTTGTCTATCAGTTTGTTCTTTTTTTTTAATTTTTAATAATAAATTATTTATCGCGGTTTTCGAAATGGTTGAAAATGACAAACTATTACGAATACTCGAATACTCGAATACTCAAGTACTTTATCACCTTGATTGCAATGCTAATTGTCTTGGTATACAATTGCGTATGTACGCATCGATCTTCAATCAATGTGCTAAGGTAATCAAGTATTCAAGTATTCGAATATTCGCCAAAAATATATATATATTTTTTTTTTTATTTGCCATTTTTAACCATTACGAAAACCGCGATAATAATATATTATTTAATTTAATAATATATTATTCACCAACCTTTTTCGTTCTTTCCTTATCTTTTTCTCTTAAACGTTTAGCATATTCATCTCTTTCTTTTATATCTTGAATTTTTTCATTTTCTTCTTTTAAATACTCATCTTCTGATTCTATTAAAATTTAAACATAAGGTTAGAGATAACACGTAACCATCACTACCAATGAAAAAAAAAAAAAAAAGAACATTACCATCTTTAATTTCCGTATTTTTAGTATATTGATCTTCTTGATCACTTTCCCAACCATTTAAAGTATCTTTTTTACGTAAATTTTTTTCTTTTTTAGATTTTTTAGATTTTTTTGAATATTGTTCATTCAAATAATCTTCAGTATCATGAAGTAATGTATAAGATTTTTGATTTTTTTCAACCAATTTTTTTGTTTCTTGTTCTTGTCTTTTTCGTTTTGATGTTATATCCTATTATTATTTTATTAATCAATTGTTATTATGTAATTTAATCAAAAAAAATTTAAAAGGTAATTTTGAAATTTACACTTGATGAACTCTTTCGAGGAACTCTATCAAAAAGTTCATTAATGAATCGCTGGGCCTCTGCAGTTTGTGGTAACTCACTCAACGTTTCACGTAGGGACTCTCTACTTTTAGCATATTGTGCTAAACATTAAATGTATAAATTAAATGAAATTAATGAAATTATTGATCAAATGGATAAAGAAAATACTATAATTAAAATTTTTTTAGAAACTAACCTTCAGCGATCATGTAATCAACTATAGTTGCTTCGGACATTCCGACCAACTGTGTATATTATTGAAATTAGTATATACTAAAAAAAGGATAATCGATTATGATCAAAGAAATACCTTTAGCGTGTTGTCAGAAACCCACGATCGTAGATCCATGATAAAGAAATATATTTAATATTTGAACCAAATAACGTTTAATAGTTTGATCAGATTTTAAAATAAGAAAAAAACAATGGTTAACGTTTAATAACTTTAAAAAGAACATTTAAAATTTTGCATATATTATCACATGATAAGTACTACATAATTTTGTTTGTTGCGTCATAGATATCGAGATCAAAATATTTCAAGTATTTGTTACAAAATACTGTACATATATACTTTGTAAGTTAAGATTTATCCGTATTGATAGATATCATTAGTTAGCATTAAAATAATTAAAATTCTAATAATAAGTTCAAAAAAAAACTTAATTGAGCTTATTATTATGTGATTAACTTGGTTTTTTTAAAAAATTAAATGTTTATTAATATACCGTATTTTTAACGGTTTTTTAAATACGTACGTACGTACGTACCTGATAACAGTCGATCAATATGTCACATGTTAGAATTTTTAATAGTGGGTCAAATGATCGACGCACCCAAATTTTATAAGTAAAATTTTGCTTAAATTTGCTTTCTAGACTTATTTAACAATAAAGAAGTTGTCGGTTTAATTTCTGAGTAGCATTTCGCAAATTCTCTAGCATTTGAAGGTTCTTATTATGAAATTTTAAGAGCAGTTAAAAATAAAATGGAAAATAATCTTGTACAAGAAGTTAGCCAATTTTTTGACGTTTGTTTATAAGTGATGGATGTCGTTTACCCAAAAATACCTAAAAACATATTAAAAAATTTACTCCCATGATCTGCGTGAAATGTTGATCGACTGATAATGATTTATACGTACTGACTATATGTATATATGTAATAAATGTTTTTTATTTTTTTTTTTTCTTTTTAGTCACAGCTTTTTTCCTTTTTTTTTTTTTTTTTTTTTTTTTTTTTTTTTTTAAAAAAAAAAAAAAAAAAAAAAAAAACACGAAAATAACAACCATAATAATATGTAATAATAATGATGATTATAATAATAAAAGATTACCTGTTTGTCGTTGGATGAATCTGCTCTGAAGCTGAAAAAACGGCGATACGACCAAAAATTCCATTCTGAATTTCAGATCGAAACACACCACTACCACTAGGGTTTGGAGGAAAGATTCTCTTTTCTGATTCATTTTCGTTCAGAGAATTTTGGCGATAATGTGGATGCTGATATTTACCATGCGAATGTGGTGTATGAGGTGGAAGTGGTTCAGGACTTTCGCGACTATTTTGACCAGTGTTAGGTCTTTCTCTTAATTCATTCTCTCCATGAGCAAAATTACACTTAGGTCCATACTGACAAAAATTTTCCTTCATAAATCGTTCGCATAAGCGTGTCTTATACAAAGGATTATCTGGACCGTCTTTTGCGGTAGGAGGTATGTCAACCTTTTCCTCACCAGGAGGTCTTTCCCTTAATTCAGCAGTTCCATGAGCAAATGTGCACTTTGACCCGTATGGGCAAAACCTTTCTGTCTCGAAGCGTTCGCATAATCGCGTTTTATAAAGCGGATTTTCGAATGGCATCACTGGAGAGTGAAGGGGTGACGAAAAGCCATTTCCATTCTTTTCTGGGCGATTATTTTGTTGACGCTGTTCTCTGCCTAACTGACGGCTCATAGCTTGTCGTTGTGAATCTAAAGGTAAAGCAAAGTTCCAAATTTTCATTTTGCTTTCTAACCTATCGCTATTGATTTGACTTTTCTCAACACGTGATCGCTGTTGAGGTTCCGAATTTTTTGGAGGTTTGTTATTCTCGACATACGCGAAGGCTTGCTTAATAACCTCTTGCATACTCTTATAAAGAACTTTATCAGTGGCTTGGTTAAGAGGTAACCATGCAAAATTGAGACCTTCGCCGCTTGTATAAACACGGGCATGATCCGATACTTGGGCAAGGTAATAAACAACTCTTTTAGGTCTATAATTTTAAATAAAGAACTATTTATCGAATCAGTATTCTCGATCGATAAAAAAAAATTCTATTATAAATACCTTGTTCCAGATAAATAAGTAATTTCAGCTCTAAAACCGTCTTCTATTCTTAAATCTTTTACCGAAAGGCCAGTGATTTCGATCGTATTACGAAGGGCGCATCTGAACGTTGAAAAGTCGAGGCGCATATAAAGTTGTTATATTTATTTAATTGGCCAGTTTTTATCAATAAGTTTAAAGCACACAAAATTATAACAAAGAAATCCAAAGATCGTATAAATATTAACAAGATCAGGGCTAGTATTTATATTCGTGAATAAAAAAACTTACTTTACTTCGTCTTCTTGACGAATTACTTCACCTTTCGGAGCAGTCCAATGTTTTTTATGCGAAAAAGTATCGTTTAACAATAAAAATTCAACTTGTCGTAGTATACGATATATGAGTATTCCTGTAACATGGAGAGGATGCGACTTGTTCTCGTCCATGAGCGAAGGGAAGGTTGCAATTAATCAGAGTTACAATTAAATAGTTAATAAAGACGTGGAATGGTATTTTTGGTCCTGCAGTCACTCTTATTTGTTCCTATTTCAATTTTAGTAACTTTAATGCTTTCTGATTTATCAATAATCTTTTATACGGGAGCTTAAATAAATTATAAAATTTAACTAGCGAAGGATATCTTATTTTTTTTTAGAATTAGTGTAACTACTATGCATATTATTGATTAAACTCCATAGGTTAATAGATTGGCATGTGACTTGCCACATTATTCCGGTATTGCAAAAAAACTAGGGAATTACTGGTATTACTATGGGAATAGCTACTATCGACACCAGCATTATAGTTAAGGTTAGTGTTAAAATAAGACCCCGAATAATATTAACGGAATTTCTTGCCTTTTTATTCACTTGTTCTGAATTTTGATTGGCTAAAAAATTCTTTAACCAATCAGAATTCCAGAATTCGTCAGAATTTTGGCATTTTTTATATCGATATGTAACCTTTGTTAGAATTATTCGGGATCCTGTTAAAATAGGAATTAGATACGTACGTACGTACGTACGTACGTGATGCTGTTTCGGTCGGTCGGTCGGTCGGAAGCAACTACCCCAACAACTAGGTATTTAGTAAAGTAGTACTGTACGGCAGTACAAATTTGGACGGACATACGAAAATTATACCAAATTTTGATCG